TTCCTCTCTTCGAATCCCAAGGCATCTTACCTCATCCTTACCCCAGACTGACGTATAGACCTCATTTTAACTTTCTGTCTCTGAACCTGTCACGCGTGTGGGTCTCTGATTCTCATGTATGTTCCCATGTGTACATATGAAGTGAAATTTGGTTATTTTCTCTTGTTAATCTGTCTCACATCAATTTGATTATTCGATCAGCTGAAAAAAAGGAAAATGGAAAAAAAGGAAAATGTTATCCTCTTGTGGATAGCTTAGCATGTAGAATAGAGAATAATACTACACTCACATTTGAAAAAGAAAGCAACACCATAATTCTCTGTCTTTTTTTCCTCCTTTAACATTTACTAGTTTCAGGTTGGCCCGCATCTGTGTCCATTTACTGTTGTTCTGTGAAGTTACTGAGGATAAGGGAATGTTCATATGAAAAAAAGCTCCTCAGTTTGCAATTGTATATACATCTCCCTCTATGTAAAAGGATTCATGACGTAGATAATAGCATTTGAACTTCAATACCCACATCTATGAATAATATTGGATTATTTACCACCTGATGCTACTGGGACTACCAGATGCAATAACCCTTGAAAAGGCACAAAGAGTAGTGTCACTTGTTTAGAGAACAGAAACTCAATTCTTAAAATACCCAACCACATTAGTGCTTCTTTAACGTAAGTTGCTTCTTTTTTGTTTGTTAATCCTCATCCGATGTTTTTTTCCCCATTGATTTTTAGAGAGTGGAGGGGAGAGGAGAGGGGGAGAGAGAGAAACATCAATGCGAGAGAGACACATCGACTGATTGCCTCCCACACATGCTGCTATCTGGGGGCCAAAAATCGAGCCCACAGTCAAGGTGTGTGCCCTTGACCAGGAATTGAACCCAAGACCCTCCTGTCCGAGGGTCGACGCTCAAACTACTAAGCAAGACCGGCCAAGGCATACGTTGCTTCTTTAAAAAAAAATCTCAGAAACTTACTTCTACCTTATAAAGCTTTCATTGCTTATTTGTAAGAAGTGATGCCTCTTTATATCTAAAGAAAAGGCAAAAAAAGAAAGAAAAGAAAAGGCTGAATGCAATTCGTGCTGTTTCCTTTTGAAACGTTTTAAAATGTAAATCTAAATTGACTGCTGATGTAGGAAGTGTCAACTCTCTTTAGTTAGAAATAGATGCCAGCAAAGAAATCTTAAAAACTTCTATGAAATGTCAACAAGCTTCTGCATGTATTTCCCTGCTGTGGGTTCCTGCACATTTCTGTTCTATCCCAGGAGAAGCCCTTTGCTCTATTAACAGAAGCCCCACCTGGTAGGTGGGGAGTTTCTGTTTTGCTTTCCGTTCCTGAATGAGTCATAATGAGACACTGCTCATTGTGTCTAACTGCTTCATATAGCTCAAGTCAGAGATCTTCAGCCCGTCCCCACAGCGGCACACAGTGACCTTTCACCTGTCACCTCTCGGGAAGGTAGCCAATAACCAGAAATGAAATACAGCAGGACCAGGTTGCACACTTTTAGGAAACAGCAGTCTTTACCATGGGCGAAAGGGGAGGACCCTAGAAGTGATCATGCCCAACTTATGGCAACATGGTCACTAAGAAGGTGCAGAGCCCTAGCTGGTTTGGCTCAGTGGATAGAGCGTCGGCCTGCAGACCAAAGGGTCCTGGGTTCGATTCCGGTCAAGGGCATGTACCTTGGTTGCAGGCTCCTCCCCGGCCCGGGCCTTGGTTGGAGCTCATGCAGGAGGCAACCAATCGATGTGTCTCTCTCACATCAATGTTTCTCTCTGTCTTTCCCTCTCTCTTCCACTCTCTCTCAAAATCAATGGAAAAATATTCTCGGGTGAGGATTAACAAAACAACAACAACAAGGGAGGTGCAGAGTAGATGCTGGAATTCTGTTCCACGGTTATCTCTTTTCGTCTGTATTTTTGATCTTTCCCTTTTTATGAGGCAGTTCCTTTCCTCTGTGCTGCCAGTTATGCCCCAGTGTTCCTTAACAAAGTAACAATATTTAATGAAAAACCCCACTGACTTGCTTAGTTTGGTGTAGCCCAGGGTCTTGCATCTTCTGTTTAGGACGACTGCTCCTCTGCATAGCTTGTCCTGTCTCCCCTCGCCCCAGTGTTAGTACGTGCAGACCCAGGGAGGGTGCGAGGACTGAAAATATACTCCGTAAGTGGAGGGCAGGGAAAGACGAATGAAAGAGGCTGGCCACTCCGGTCTGGGAATTAATAGAGTTTATTAAGCGAAACTTCTATACAAGGCATCTTGGATGGTTAGAAGATGAAGTGGGTCCCTGTGCTGCTTGGTAGGTGCCAAAGAATTATATACAGGGGGAAGGAGGGAACAGTTGCAGGCACTAGCATGTGAATGCTACCAGACACAGGAAATTACACGCTTGACCAGACCGAGGCATCAGCCTCTTCCAGGAGCCAGGAGGGATGCTGATTAATGTCAGAATGAACATTGATTATGAGCAGATAGTCCCGAAGGGCGGCTTTGCAGTCAAGCACTCTCTGTTCTGGCCGGGTCCAGCTTGTGGGTCCAGCAGTGGTCACGCCATGGAACAATCTCTCCTTCACAGCTTTTCAAACTTACTGAGGTGAAGAAGCAGGGGTTTGATGCATTAAAAAATTTTTTCCAATACATCATGTATTGATATTTTTATAAAATAGAAGAAAATGACATGAAAAAGACATACAAAATACAAACCACATTTTACTATGGTTAGATTCAGTTGTCAAGATAGCTAGAAAAATTTCTAGACTCTTAGTCTCAGTTCTGTACTTCTTTCTTGGTGGGCCAGTTCCGGGGCCACACGTGAAAACAAAGCCTAGCGGAGACTCCGATTGGTTGCTGGTCCATTGATGGGCTCCCTGGGACCAATCAGTCACAAGGGAGGAATGATCACATGGTATGAACACGCCCCTTCGGCAGAGTCTTTGGTTGGGGGCACTTTCCAGAGGATGGGGCATGAGATATAGGAGCACAAAGCTTTGCTGTTTGCCTGGCTGCCGTATGAATGCAGCACCTCAGCAACTTAATTTGTTCAGATTGCTGAGTGCCCCACCTGCTCATATGCTGGAAATTGGAGTCTGAGAGCAATGTCCTCTAGGCCAAGCATGTCAAACTCAAAGGCTAACACGGGCCAAATAAACGAGGTATGCGGCGAGTTTGACATGCTTGCTGTAGCGTAAGGGTTTCGTAACAGAGCAGGATCTTCACAGAAAATACAAAATACTCATTAATTGAATGCAAAGATGAACAAGGTAAGCTCTCTGCCCTCAAGAGCTCACAGTGGTTAGAGCTTTTTTATAGACTAATTTACTTTTCCATCTACTCCCATGAGAAAAATGCTGTTTCTATTTCCTAGTCCCAAACCCTGTCGAAAAATTAAATTCTTTATAGGCAATGTTATTACACATTCAGCCCATCAAAAATCTCTGAGTTCCTCCCACAGTAATTTATCTTTGCATGTATATGACCAGTTTCCTTGTGTGGGGAGTTGCTTTGAGGGCTGATTTATAAACCCGGGCATTCCCAGTGCTCAGCTCAATAGCATGTCTGACTGTATTCAACATTTTTTTATACTGTGGGCGGCGGTTGTGTTGATGATGAAAAAGCAGCAGGGAGGAGGACTTGGGGTCAACAAGCTCCTAGTTAGTTGCCAGTCTGTAAAATGGATTAGTAATGCCTACCTCACAGAACTGTACTAAGAGACAAAAGTAAGTAAAAGCCTCTGGCACAACACCCAGATGCTCAGTGTGTGTGTAAAGCTGCTTAAAAAGTCAAAACACGGAATTGTTAGGGGTTGCTTAGATAATGAGAGCCTTCCTTGGGAACTTCAGTGGGTAGCACAGCCAAGCATAATTCATGTTTAAAATTACCGAGTAAGAAAAGGTGCATTATGCCTGGCATCATTCAAAAAATAAAGCAGGAAAGTGAGCAGTGATTTTTAAGTTATTTCAAAAAATTCGTAAAAATGGACTTCTGGGTAAAGATGACAGCCTGAAGCTGGACCACAGAATCCCCTTCCTCTAATGCCTAATGAATGAATTTAAAAAATTATATGCAGTGAAACCCAGATCGAAGCTGATAAAACCGTAACGATTTATAAAAATTCAAATGGAAGGAAATGCAACGTTTTGCTAGGTCTAGTAAGATGTCTCCACCCCCCCCCCCCACACACACAAATATACCCATCATATGACCCTGTAATCAGTTGTTGCCAACCACTATTTAAAAATTAGATGACAGAAGGCTGTCTCTCTCTTCTGGGAGTTTTGTCCTCATGCCCCTGCTTTCCTGCCATCAGCTGCTCTCTGGCTCACTGCAGCCTCCCACACTCCTGCCCTGGTCAGCTGCCTTGTTCTCTGAGCATTTGAGTTTGCAACCCCGAGGTGGGCATGAACTCCAAGTTTATAAAGAAAATTGAGGCTCAGGCAGAACAAGTAACTTGCTCAATGTTAAACAGTGACAGAGGCTGGGTTTTTAACCTGGATATTTCAATAAATTCTATACTCTTCCCACTGTACCGACTGAAAATGAGATGAATGCACCTCATTTATTTTATGTTTCTCCGGTGTGTCACTCAGGTGTGTATACACTCTGTGCCTCTAGGCTACAGGAGCCATACAAAATAAATTATATGTTTTCATCCAAAAGAATCTGACCCAGAATTCGCCACATATCATGTTTGTCCAAGGACCATCTTCTGTGAAACTAACTCAAAGCCACTTATTTTCTCATTGTTGTGTCAAAAAACATAGGATCATATATTTTTTTAAAAAGTTTTTATTTATTTTAGAGAGAGAGGAGGGGAGAGGGAGAGAAAGATCAATGGGTTGGCCTTCTACCCGCCCCCTACTGGCAACCCGGGCATTGAACTGGCAACTTCTTGCATGGGACAACGCTCACCCAACTGAACCACACAGGCCAGGGCAGGGTCATACTTTTTACTAGTAAGTGTTGCATTTTTAATTGTATTAAAAAACAGACATCTTCAACATTTCAAATGCTTTAATTCACATTTCTGTCTGTAGGCAATGACCACAATACAGACCCAACACAACAAAAGCAATTAACACAGGGTAATTAAGTGGTAGGTACACAGCATGTGGCCAGAGGGCAAGAAAGTGCAAGAGGCCAGCTGGCTGCTTAGTGGAGCCTCACAAGCGTCCTCAGTCCTGGGGATTCAGGGATCTGATTCAGTCAGTTCTCCTGCAAGAGTGATCAGGCGAGGGGCCCAGGCTGCTCTAACTGTGCACAGAACAGAATTACAGATGACTGCCCATTTGCCTGCAGGAGATCAAAGTAAAGAGAAAGAGCCAGAGCTGGAGAAATGAGAGCAAATGTCCTTATGAGTCATTGTCATCCACTGCACAAAGGCCTTTTCTTACTGCAGGCATTTCCTCCCAATCTCATCTGACCTGGAAGCCAGCTTGCCTGGACAATGCTAGAGGAGCAAGAAAAGCAACCTAACTACTATGTTTTCAAATTTCTAATTTTTTAAAAGAAACCTACCTACATCTCACTGTCCACAATTAGGCAGAATTAAAAAAAAAGTGAATATAAAGTGCTGGTTCTTGATTCAATATTATCATTTCAAGGGAAAACCACCCAAAACTGTCACCCATTCTATTGAGCTTTTCAGCTGAACAATGCAGATTATGTGTTCGGATCCACAGGAATCTGTAAATTAATATAACCTTCAAAGTTTAGTTGTTGCCAATTTAAAATTCCATAATGTACGTTAAATACAATTTTGCTTTATATTACAAATGCAAACTGTCTTTGCTTCCACATGCTGGTTGTATTCATTTTTACAGTGCAAAAAGGACTTTACAATTTCTGAGTCACAGTATATTTTACAACTCTAAGTAGGCAAACACATTTCAAAAAGCAAATACTATACATGTTTCTGACACACCTTAAAAAATAAAAATAAATACTTTTGACTATAAACTTTTTATAAACATTAGTGACATTAAGGTTCACAGCTAATGGTTGCAGAAGCCTAAAACGCACTTAAGGTCATGTACTCTTCCCATTAGACAACCTGTACTTTAAAACACAAGTCAGTCTGGTTTCTATTAAACGTAACCAAGCATGGGAATGATCACCATTTACTTACATAAGGGATCCATTAGAGCTGCCAGGTATTCAGTATTTAAGCCACTAAGTCTACCAGGAGTTAGGAATGTGTGAGGACAATAAAAGATGAGAGAAGTCAAGACAGACATGGAGATATGCTTTACTTCGTATATTTCTTCCTGAGACTATAGAAGCTATTAAAAAAAAAAAAAAATCAAGCCCAGCCAGTTGCTCAGTGGTTGAGCATCAACCTATGAACCGGGAGGTCATGGTTCCATTCCCGGTTGGGGCACATGCCTGGGTTGCAGGCTTGATCCCCAGTGTGGGGTGTGCAGGAGGCAGCCAGTCAATGATTCTCTCTCATCATTGATGTTTCTATTTCTATCCCACTCTCTCTTCCTCTCTGGAAAAAAAAAAAAAAAATCAAGACAATTCCAAATGAAACAGGAAACTCTTGGGGCAGATTATCTTTTGCAATCTGTAGAATCCCCAGTAACGTAAACAATCGCTACCCTAATATATAACTTGTAAACATGAGTCTTGTAAATTGTAGATTATTTAAAACAAGACACATGCCTATATATGTATTTGAAAGTGAATTTAACAGTATACAGGGGTGGACAAAAGTAGGTTTACATTAGTTTATATGGAAAAATAATACAATAATTAATAAATACAAGAATAAAGTGTTTTGCCAACTCACAACTGTAAGCTTACTTAACTTTTGCTCAGCCATATTTGTAAAAGGTGATAATGTGTAACAATTCTGACCATGAATTAAAGAATAAAACTCATTATACTCAAAACATGATCTCCCATCACTACATGGGTGCATGAATAAGGTAAGACCAGATCTGCTCACAGAAATCTCTCAGTACTAGACTTTAACATTTCCTGATGAGATTTGGGAGTTAATTTAAGCAGAATGAAAGTACTTTATATAATGTACTAAGCATTGTATTCAGCAGTAGATTGTTCCTGGGCCTTACCTTTAGTGACTGAAAGTTAAGTTTACAGTAATTCATGGATGACAGAATCATAATAGATCCTTAAGGAGAGCTGATGTTGTTTTGGGGGACACATTTTAATCTTTCAGAGATTAATGTTATGCAAGAGCAATAAGACAGGCCATTTGTTAGAGAAACACCAGGCTGGAGGCCCAGTGGGTCTGCTGAACTCCAGAAGGACGGAGCAGGTTGGTTAACAACAGAAGAGCACCCCTAATGGATAACCATGGGACTAGCCCTTCAGTAAGGTTTTGGCAATTGAGGGTCAAATAAAACAGTGAAACAAAACATTCAATTATCTAAGAGTAGTTTGTCAGTGCTTTCACTACCCCCTTTTAAATTGAGGAGTATTTCTGAAGAATGAGAATATCTGTCACGGGAATTAAATTATGGGTTTTAGTTACTTAGTCAATAGGCCACATTTCTGATTGTGACTAGAATTTATGTGATCAATAAACTTATTAAATAAAGCTATATACTATAAACACTAGACACAGGTTACCACAATAAAGAAAATAAATAAAATAAAAAATACATCTCTCTCTTAAAAATAAATACGATAGAAACATTTTTAGCAGAGGATAATATCATTGCCCCAAGGGGAAATTCTGTTAAGTACTTTGGCTATAAAAGACTACTGTAAGAAGACCACTTATTACTCATTATTAAACTGTTTTTGAGAAATTAATATGACTAGTAAATTTTCTTTACTACACTTTTCTTGGATTACACTGTCTTTTAATAAAAAGAGAAGTGAGTGGGTGAACTGTCCAGCTTGGAACCCATAACTTTCAATCCAAAGTATTATGCTAATTTTCACCAATTCGCCTGTGTGGCTCTCTCTTGGCTGCCTTGGGTTCTAGCAAGATTCTGAATTTCAGCAGCTCAACATGGTCATTACCGGGATTAACCAAACATTTGGGGGTCTGAGAGTATTCCTAAAATAAAAACCGTAACAAAAATTTCCAGTATAGTCTTTCCTTTACATTTCTCTTTTTAGGGTTTCCTGGAAATAAACACTATGGACCCACTAGATGCTGGGCTGTAGGAACTCTTAGGAGGCACATGCTGAAGGAGGGCCCAGCTTAACCACACTGGCTGGAAACCGACCATTCCCTGTCAAAAAAGCAAGTTAATTTTGAAAATGTTATGGTGTCACCACATTAAAAATTAAGATGGAAGTGATTTTCCCACCCACATCTTGTTGGATGTATACTATGTCCATCAAACGTGTGGTTCAAGAGCCTCACTCTCAAGCATAAAGCCACGAAACAGACACTTCACCTTCATGTACAGTTCTGAGACATTTTAAATGAGGACCATATGATCAAAGTGTTTGCTAAAAACAAAACCAAAAAACAGGCATTAGTAAACAACTGGAAGTTTGGCTGTTTTTGGAATGATATTTACAGAAATGTGTACTCATACTACTGGTGAAATGAAGACTAAATAGTTGATAGGGAATTTCTACTTTTGGATGAATATGCATTTACTTGTTTGTGAGCATTCTATTGTAAGTTTTAATTTCCTCATCCAGCTACTCAGTATCCTTGATATCCTCTTGATCTGAGTTACTAGAGATGTCATCATCCGTTTGTTCTCCGGAGAAATACAGCATCAGTGCATGTGTCTTGTGAGTGATGGTAACAGTGCAGGGTCCTTGGGCCCAGGGCTCCCCATCCACCTGCATTGGCATCATCGAGCACTTCAAAATCAGCTGGTATTAGGGAAAAAGAATTAGAAAAGTCAGTCCCCAAAAAGCTCAGAAAGGTCTTCCTTAAAATATCATCCATAGTCCTTAAACCTCCTTAGCATTTCAGTCTGAGAAAATCAACCTGGATATATTTTTATTCCTTGCTTGTTTAAAGGATTCTTTCCCAATGAACACTTTATTTCTTCAACTGGACTGACGGCCCTATTTGCTGTTTCTTCCCCATCCCACTCAAGCCCCTCATGGAGGCTGATCAACCGCATAGGAGTAAGCACTGCGTAAGGAAAGCGACAGGTCAAGGGCTTAGAAATGGACGGACCGACTAGCCTGTTAGCGCACGTTCACCTACCCGCACTGTGTGTGCCTGTCCTATTCGAAAAGGGTTTGCCAATTTCACTTGAATCTGAGCACAGTGGAAAGACCCATATACTCCAACGACTTCCAGTAAACCATCGTCATGCCTAAAATTAGAAAAAGGAAATTTGGATTATACGATGCAATAAAATAAAATCAGCCATGTTAGGACAGTTATTTTTTTTAACATAGGTGGACCATCAACTTATTAAATATTTACATTAATGAAGTATACAAGAAAGAACATCTGAGGAAAAAATGTCTATGAAGAACAGACTGCTTAAAAGCAGAACACAGTGACATAAAATAGCAGATCGCAAATGTACATACCTGGCTAGGGGGTAAGTCTCATCTCCCATCCCTTCCCATAGTCTGCAGCCACCGCCCCAGTATCCAATGTTCAGAACAATAATACCTTCCAAATTAGGCAGTTCCACTCGCTCACCATCCAGTTCTAGCTTTAAAGAAATCCAAGCAGTTAGTTACTACAGGGCACATGATTTGCAGACATATCCACTTAGAATTCACGTCCACTTTCACATACATGAGATGTGAGAGATGCATGTGTAAGGGAAGACTACTTCCTCACTCATGGTAATCTGGCCTCTCACATCTGTGCAATGTTTATTATAATAAACGAATGATAACAAATGGATTTTCCCCACAAGGTCATCAATCACATCCTTTTTGTTAAATCCCATTCTTTTACTGTATTGCAATGTGGTCTGAATGTCTTTCTTCTCTCTAGACCAGCGGTCACCAACCTTTTGGACCTCACGGACCACCAGTGGTCCGCAGACCACCAGTTGGCGATGGCTGCTCTAGACTACAAGTTAGTGACAACAGGGGTTCATCGCTGTATCCCCAGTACCTAGGACAGTGCATTTTGTAGGCGGCTTCACTAATATTTTTGTATAAATAAAGGATCAGACAAAAAAATAAAGTGCTACCTCCCATGCTTCATCCTACCAACGCTATCACAGCCTAACACAAAGGAAATATGATAAAGCAGAAGGAAGCTTTTTTAATGGGCAATCTTGCCATTCCTCTGTGCTGTGGCTGCAAAGGCTGTGAGCTCTTTCCTTTTTACGTATTTTACTAGTTGTAGGTTTCTCTGTATTAATGGCTTTGTCAGTGCTATTAACAATTACAAATTCTTTTTGGAAGCAAGCAAGGAATATATACAAGTCTTTGCCATATTATGATGTCAGGGATATTGTAGCAGTAAGCAATTGTTAATATCCTGTTTTTACTGCTCATATCTTTTATTTTGTAAGAGAGATGCATGTGGTAATATGAATTAAAATTTGGGTCAAACCTCCCCCTAGAGTCCATGATGAGTCAGGCACTGTGTTAAATAATTTCACACTTGTCATCATGTATGAATGGAAATTGTTTAGCATAGAGTTAAAACAGACTCTGGAGCTATATAAAGCCGGGGTCAAATCCTGGTTTTACATGTGTTTTTGTAATTATTTAATTTAGTGGGATAATGTGGGATAAAGCAGTTAGTAAAGTGTCTGGCACACAATAAATACTTCATATATGTTAGCAAAATATGTCAGAAATTCAGCATTTCTGTTAAAACAATGTTCATTATCCAGAGAGCACCTAAACTTTAAAAGCTTACCTCAACTTTTTTATTCAGATCTTTACATTCTTGCACTAAACAATCTTTGGTTCCATAGAATAAGTAAACAGCCTATGAGAAATAAACAGAAAATATGATAGTAAAGCAATCTAACAAGTCCTGTAAGCAAGAAAAAGACACAGAACCAAAGCTCCCTGCCCTGAGTGCTGAGTCATGTTTCCTCAGAGTGGATTAGACACTGTGGATTAGGCACCATTACTTTTTTTTTAAAATATATTTTATTGATTTTTTACAGAGAGGAAGGGAGAGAGATAGAGAGTTAGAAACATCGATGAGAGAGAAACATCGATCAGCTGCCTCCTGCACATCTCCTACTGGGGATTTGCCCGCAACCCAGGTACATGCCCTTGACCGGAATCGAACCTGGGACCTTTCAGTCTGCAGGCCGATGCTCTATCCATTGAGCCAAACCGGTTAGGGCGGCACCATTACTTTTGAGTTCAGCCTGTTTTTCAGGGGGAATATGGGATAGAGGTGGTTTGTGCCTAAATAATGTTTTCCCCCAGCTTATTAAAAAAAAAAAACACCTAAGTTTTCACCCTGGTTGGTATTGCTTAGTGGTTAGAATGTTGGCCCGTGCACCCAAGTGTCTTGGGGCTTTTTTTAAAAAACATTTTTTGGGGGGTTAATCCTCACCTGAGGATATTTTTCCATTGACTTTTAGAGAGAGTGTGTGTGGGGGGGTGGAGATACATCGATGTGAGAGACACATCAACTTGATGCCTCTTGCATGCTCCCTGACTGGCCTGGAATCAAGCCGGCAACCAAGGCATGTGCTGTTGACCAGAATCAAATCCGAGGCCCTTCAGTCCACAGGCCAAAACTATACCCACTGAACCAAACCAGCTAGGGCAGTGTCTTGGGTTTGATTCCTGGTCAAGGGCACATACCTGGGTTGCAGGTTGGATCCCCGGCTCTGGTTGGGGCATGTGGAAGGCAACCAATCAATGTCTCTCTCACATTGATATTTCTTTCTCACTCTCCCCCTCCCTCCTTACCTTTCATTTTCTCTAAAAAAATCAATGGAAAAAATATCCTTGTGTGAGTGAGGATTAACAACAACAACAACTACAACAACAAAGCTACATTTTATAAAGAAATACATTAAAATTAAAAAATTCCACCTTTTTCTAGAATTTCAGATTACTTACGGAAAGTAATACAGATAAATCTAGGAATATTTTATAATTGCTTTAGACTATAAAAAGGGTGCAAAGTTGACTGGAAGCACTAAAAATGTAGTTAATTACCAATGATATAAACAGCAGTACTTACTGCCTTAGTACCTACATTAATAAAAGGAAACTATTTGTAAATCTGAAATATTTGTAAAACAGAACCAGGAACAAAATTGTTTTGAATTTATTTTTCATATCCTATTGCGCAGTCACCAACAGTCATTAAGAAACTCCAAGACCAAACTTCCACCAGAAGAATCACCTGTACTAGAAACCAGAGTGATGCTGGGGTTAAAATCCTCCTTCCCTTACCTTACCTGCCTTTCCCAGTTTTTTCCAAGCCAGTGGAATCTATTTTTTCCATTAACAACTTCACCTAAAATGTATCCTGCCTAAAATTTCTTTCCAATATCAGTTGCCATTTAAGTAAGATAAGCTATTGTATACTTGACTTAGTTGCCTTTAAGCAAAATATGCTGTAAAATATTCCAACTTTAAATCAAAAAATTTTGCCATAATTATAAAATATTTTAATCAAATACACTTAGAGATATAATTTGACAGTCTTACACAAAACAGAGCAGGCCAGTGTTTCCCTAAGTTAGTTCTGTCTGAATCTACTTGAAAGGGTGCTAGATATAAGGAACTATTGATTTTTACTGTACCTTCGGTGTAAGCAGGAAATGTTATTTTATCCAACACACCTTATTTAGAATTCTGCTAGAAAACAGAGATGGTGCCTTCTCGCGATGAGCATGAAAATTGAGGGCCATGAGGGCGTCAGGTCCAACAGAAAAGTAGTTGTTCATTGTGAATTCCTGTGGAAAAGGGTAAGATTTAGCAAGAGATTTGCTTCGGTTTAAGCCTGTATCATGTATTCAATATGTAAATCTGTTTTTATGTTCTTTATGACAATTTAGTACTTTCTGCATCTCCTGTCCTCATAGAGCTATTTTATGCTATCCAGTGTGTTTAGAAAGAAAGCTTCAGTTCAAAGGCTGATGATTACAGATGTGAGTTTCCCTTCCCACTTCTGTTTAATATGCTACATCTCAGATCTCATCAAGTAGAGTGACTCTACTTTGCACCTGGGCTTTCCACTCCTGTGTTCCTGTTGCGTTTGCTTCTATCAGTCTCAACCCAGGCTCCCAGCACCCCCTTAGTTTATCTGACCTCCTGGCCCAGCCTGGATTCCTCACCCTACTTCTCCAACTCTGTCTTGTTCCTGAGAATAAGCCTGAGTGTCCAGCTTCTTGTTCAGTGCACCATGGCCTCAGGTTGAGAAGCTCAAAATCTAACTCATTTTCTTCCTACGCAAACCTGAAACTCTATTTTTTGTATCTTAATGTCATTTCCATGCACCCAGTCATGAAAACTAGAAATCTAGTAGTAAATACTATTTTTTCTCTCCCCCTAGTACCAGTCGGGTGCCAAGTCTTGTCAATTCTACTTCAAAGTAGTCGATTTTCTGGGATTCTTCCCTTGAAAATGTGGCGTTTAATTTTGAAAGACATACCAGGCCCTACATAGTTCCCAACTATATTCCAAGTAGGTGAGAGGCTGAAATCTTAAAATGTTCATCTTCCACTTCCCCCAGTCTGTGGTCTGTCTTTGGATCGGCAATAACTGCCTGAACAGCTACTATGGCTTCATTAGTTTGTGTCTGTGGCTCTTTGAGCTCTTCTCTGTGTAGCAATCGAATTAAGAACTGCATCTCCTATGTCAAAACCAAGAATGTGCTTGTCTAAAGCAACAGGCAACCCTTCCTTCGTGTGATGCTTAGCAGCGGCATCCTTTGTCAGGCTCCTGGGCCAGAATGAGAGTTACATTAAGCAATACCAAGTAATCATCAAGACGCTGAATCTGAAGGTCAAAGTCGTTCCACCAACCGTAAAATCGGGATTGTTTACACCCCAACTGATCAATGGTTCTGCATTTTTAGCTGCATTGCTGGTATTGTTTGTATTATCAGGAACCGAGCCCCTGTGTTTTGCAGCATTATCTCCACATTCAAGTCTAACAGCTAAACCAAGAAACCAGCCAACTGCTTCTTGTCAGTCTTGAGTCTTGAAAGGACAGCTAACATCTGTGAGATGCTTTTCAAAGAACTTGGGTCAGTCACTGCTTTAGATGTCTCTTAAGTTACCTCTGTCTTCAGTCTTGTAGTGTCTGATTTTCTGGTCTTCGAGCCAAACAATAAAGTTTCTAAATTCTGTTTCATCTTTGCAATTGAAGCCAGCAGGGTTGTGGTAGTCGAAAGCCATTAGCTTGTGTGGGAACACGGTCCTGGCTTCTCGTTCTGGTCCCCCGGACTTCGGCAGGAGAGCAGAGGTGAGGAATGGCCCATGCATGGGTGACGGTGATGTGGTGAGAGCCAGAGCATCTTTTTAAAAGTACAGATCTGCTTTTGTCTGTATGATTTTCTATTTGCTAACTATGATTTGTACCCTCTGGTCTCTATTCTTCTGCCTGCAAAGTACTGATCCTTTCTCTGTTGACCTAAATTGTATTTACCTTTTAAGGATCAACTCACATGTGGCTTCCTTTCCGTCTGAGCTTCCAGGGCAGAACTAAGCACCTTGCGCTGCTCCCGCCCACAGCACTCTGTACTGTCCAGCCTGGGAGCTGTGCCTGACTCCCAAGCATACGGGTCTCTTCTGCTCCATAAGCAGCTCCCTACAGGGAAGCCCTCCATCCCTGTGCCCCCGTCACTGCCGCATCTCACACTGTGGAGGCTCTCCATCATGTTCGCTGAAAGTACTCCCAACTGAAGCCCTAAAAACATACCTTAGGTTGCCCGGCCAGTGTTGCTCAGAGGTTGAGCATTGACTTATGAACCAGGAGGTCATGGTTCGATTCCAGTCAGAGCACATGCCCAGTTGGGGGAGGGGTGCCGGAGGCAGCCAATGGGTGATTCTCTCTCATTATTGATGTTTCTCTCTCTCACTTCCTTTCTGAAATCAATAATAAAAAAACAAAAAACCCACCACATACCTTGGGTTTTCTCAGGTTGTAGTATCCTTTATTTGTTACTTGAACTTTCCATCTGAAAAACAGATTAAGTTAAAAAAATTCATGATTATTTCCAAATTGACTGCCAATTAACTACAATTATAGCAATCAACTCTGGATGCCTGGGAGATGAGGTCCTTTTATTAAAATAGCATTTGAGCCCTAGCTGGTTTGGCTCAGTGAATAGAGCGTTGGACTGCAGACTGGAAGGTTCCGGGTTTGATTCTGGTCAAGGGCACACACTCTGGTTGTGGGCTCGATCCCTAGTAGGGGGCATGCAGGAGGCAGCCGATCAATGATACTCTCTCATCATTGATGTTTCTCTCTCTCCCTCTCCCTTCCTCTCTGAAATCAATACAAATATTAAAAAAATAAATAAAATAGCATTTGAAAAATAAGCACATCTGTGAATATGCAAATTTTGAGATAAGTATTCAGCCTAACTTGTGACTTCAGTCCTTATATAACAAGAAAATATTACAGCAACAAAATAAAACACCATCATCTATGTATAAGTACAACTAACATAGTCTTTCATTTTAAATTACATTTAACTTTATAACTTATACAAGACTTCATTTATAAACCAAACAAAATTCTCAAAGCTCAAAATTCTACTTTTTTGGGGGAAGTGCAACTTACCTGTCCAGTTTAATTCCATCTGCTTCCATCACATTTCTTAAGACCTGGGCAACTGGGATTTCACCTGTGTAACTTGTGCCCCAGCCCAATGTATTGGATAGATCATTGCCTGTTCCCAGAGGCAAGACTGCAACTTGTGGGATGTATTTTTCTTGTCCCTAGAATATGGAAGATAGAGTTTAGATTTTTCTCTTCTATTTGTACAGTAATAACATTTGGTAAAACTTAATGACGGAAGCAATAAAGATACAAATATAACAACTGAATGTTGTTTTGCTAAAGTTTATTCTAACTGCTTAATCATAATATACCAAATTGGCAGTCTTCTCATATTCATCTGCAAATAAAAGATATAACCAAAAATCTTGTATAATTATCTTAGTGCTCATGTGAAAGGCAAGTACTCAGCCTAACGTATGACTTCTCACTCAGATCTTATCAGTAATGGTGAACCTATGACACGCGTATCAGAGGTGACACAAAAACTCATTTTTTTGGTTGATTTTTCTTTGTTAAATAGCATTTAAATATATGAAACAAATATCAAAAATGTAAGTCTTTGTTTTACTATGGTTGCAAATATCAAAAAATTTCTATATGTGTCACGGCACCAGAGTTAAGTTACGGTTTTTCAAAATGCTGACATGCCAAGCTCAAAATGTTTGCCGTTACTGTCTTAGAGGTTGGTACCTTAATCTTCATTTCATCAATGGCATCCAGGACCCAGCCCACAGTCCCATCCCCTCCACACACAAGTACTCGAGCTGAGTGATAAGGAAGAAGAGTACAAAGTTGTAGGGCTTTGATGGGGGGAGTTTTAGTTACATCAAAAACCTAAAAATGAAAGAAAAGAAAACAATTATTTTTATCCAACACTGTCCTCCACTTGTCAGCATGACTTCCCTCTAGATCAGTGGTCCTCAACCTTCCTAATATTGCGACCCTTTAATACAGTTCCTCATGTTGTGGTGACCCCCAACCATAAAATTATTTTCGTTGCTACTTCATAACTGCAATTTTGCTACTGTTATGAATCATAATGTAAATATCTGCTATGCAGGATGTATTTTCATTGTTACAAATTGAACATAATTAAAGCATAGTGATTAATCACAAAAACATTATGTAATTATGTATGTGTTTTCCGATGATCTTAGGCGACCCCTGTGAAAGGGTCATTCGACCCCCAAAAGGGTCTCAACCCACAAGTTGAGAACTGCTGCTGTAGATGGTATAGACATGGTTAAGTAAAAGACTGGCTGCAATGCACTGATCTGTAACAATATGCCAGGCTCTATGTTAGACTTTTCTTTTCCTTTACGTCCTTTTTACTTAATGTATAATGTTGAAAGGGAAAAACACACATTGGAAGGAAAAACATCAGTGCGTCTTTGATTGTTGCACAATGGGTTGTTTAGTTTTTCAAAGCAGAAGCTGCTAGCACGTAACTTCAATTTCAATGGCGCAATCGTTTTATCCTTATTTTTTAACTGAGGTATAATTTACATCTAATGAAATTCACCCATTTCAAGTGAACAATTCAATGATTAGGAAGTTTACTGAGCTGTGCACCAGCACTTTAGAACTTTCGTCGCTCTGATAAGATCCCTCAGTGTCCAGGTGCAGTCACTTCCGATTTCCTACCTCAGGCGACCACGAATGTACTGTTTCTACAGATTGGCCTTTTCCGGGGAGATCATACATCAGATCATACAATATGGGCCCCTTGCATCTGGCTTCTTGGATAGGTGGGCTGTTTCTACTTTTTGGCTATAATGCTGCTATGAATATTTGCATAAAAGTCTTTGTGAAACATGTTTTCATTTCCCTTGGGTAGATTGAACCCGGGCATGTGCTCTGACCAGGAATCAAACCGTGACCTCCTGGTTCATAGGTCAACGCTCAACCACTGAGCAACACTGGCCAGGCTCTATGTTTAATTTTTTAAGAAACCTCCAAACTGTTATCTACCATGGCTGCACCATTTTATACCTTCACCATGAGTTCCTTTCTCAATATATTAGAATAGTTTGATACTTTTATAATTATTCTTTCCTACAATCAGGTGAATACTGGTTGAAAGAATTAATAACCATTACAATTTAGGAAAAATGAAAAGCTAAAATGAAAAGATTAACACTGAAAGGAAGGTTTTCTCTTTAGATACCTGGACTGGGTTTAGAAGGATCCTGAATTCTCCCAATAGTCCATCTCCCATGTTAGTTCCACTACGAGAGTTGGCCAGGATTATTAATGGAGTCCATTGCTTCCCAAGCTTAGAGGCTAGCTAAAAAAATTAAGGTGAATGAAAGAGTTAAATATCTCATCTGTGCATTGTATTGTGTTCTAGTCAAGTCTCCTTCCATCACCATTTATCCTTCCTATACCTTCCCCCACCTACCCTACCCCTCAATTTTTCATCTTGATAACAGTGCTGTAATTTGCTGAGAGAAAAACAACTATCCCAGAACAACAAATACAATATAAAAATCAAAGAACAGGGCGGGACCTTAAAGATGAACTAATTTAACTTCCACGTAATGTACAATTCTCTTGTACATTATTCTAGTTAAGTCCTCCAGTGTATGCTTAGATACGCATATAAGAACTCACTAACAAGGCAGCCCATCCTACTGCTAAATTATTACACAGTCTTAACTTAAATGGAGTTAAAAATCTGTCTTTCAATAACTTTTATTCATTGTTCTAATTTCATTTTCTGAAGCAACTAGAAATTTTACTTGTTTTTCCCTATAATGCTGTGCTCAAACACCTGAAGCATATTATCTTTCATTAGTCTTGTCTCCTAGACAATGCATTTCAAGTTCTTTTGACCTTTCATAGAATGGACAATGACTTTCTCTGCTCTTTTACCTTAACTGTCCTTTTCTGGATATAGTCTAATATATAGTTTGCAAGTTTATTTGCTTTTTTCAAATGGGTACTCAGAAATAGATGAAAGAATCCAGACTTGTACAAAGCCCAAAGTCAAATGAAATTAATGTTTTTCTAACCTAACAATTTATTTTCTCTCCCCTTCTCCTTGTGGATGGAGACATGAATGGAGTTGTTTTGTGTGTTTTTTCTTAGCAATTCTCACTCCTTGTGATCTCAGAGTAAATTAAAATACATAACGGTTGTACATTTATTTACTTATCTTTATTATAATTTTTTAAATCCTCACCTGAGGATATATGTATATATTTTTTTATTGATTCCAGAGAGAGAGAGGGAGAGGAGACAGAGAGAGAGTGAAAAAAAACCCATCAATATGAGAGAAAAACATTGATTAGTTGCCTCCTGTACATGCCGAGACTGGGATTGAAGCTACAAGGAACCTATGTTCTTTGACCGGGAACCAAACCAGAGACCCTTCAATGTATGGGAGACACTCCAACCAACTGAGCCATGCAGGACAGGGCTAGGGATTGTACGTTTAAAAATATGTATCACAGCCCGGTCAGTATGGCTCAGTGGTTGAGCATCAACCCATGAACTAGGAGGTTGAAGTTCAATTCCTGGTCAGGGCACATGCCCATGTTGCAGGCTCGATCTCCAGTGGGGGGCATGCAGAAGGCAGAAGATCAATGCTTCTCTCTCTATTCCCCTCCCTCTCTCTCTAAAAAAGAAATCAGTAAAAACATATTTTAAAAAAATGTGCCACAACATTAAACATAATGTTTTTAAATTTTCAAAATCCCCTTTCTTTTGCAGGAATATTGACAAAGATGACATTTAAGATATAAAATCCTAACTTGGAAAAGACACAATTTAATTTTAAAATAAAGCAGTTTCACCATTTTGGCATATTCATGTAGAAAATCAATGCCAATATTTATAGTTATTCCTTCAGAGCTACATAACGATTGAGAGATACACATTTACATCAGTTTTCATACACAAAAATACTGTTAAGTGCTGTTAGCAGCTTCAATGTTCAACATTATTTGTGGGATCATATAATGAGCAATGTAAGTGCATCTCTAGACACCCTGTGTAAAGTTCCCAATGGAAAAATTCTTCTACAGAACAACGTGTGAGGAAAATCTACATTTTCTTTTCACTGACAATAATCATGAATCCCAATCCTAGCTGTTCATCAGAATCATCTGAGAACCTTAAAAACACATGGATGGATTCCTGGGACCTACTTACTAAGTCAGACATGGTCATGGAAGTGGGTTCAGGAACCTGTATATTTAAAAAGTTCCCCAAGTCCAGAAGCAGGCAGTGATTTAGAAACCACTAATATAACATTTCCTTTTAGACATGAAAGAACTCCAGAGCCCACATTTGTGGCACACCTCTAGGATCTGGGTAGGAATTTATGGTTTACCATAACGATTCTTCTCACGCACACACAGTTGTAATGGTCACACAATGACTTAAATCACTTCCTGGAAATCAATTACATAAGGACAAATGAACTCTGATTACCATTGCGTAATCTGTTTTTTTGTCTTTACGCATCTGATTAATAGAGGTTAAGTAACTGGGTGGAATGATGAGGTTTCTGAATTCTCCAAAATCACACGCTTCGTTCTTTAAGCTACTTCTCATGCACTCATCATGGACAGTTTTCTGACACCAAATGCACCTGAGGGGTGGAAGAAACAAAGATAATGAGTAACTTAAAACCATAGCTTACTGATCTGCAGACCAATCATTTCTGTCAAAAAACCTAAAACAGTAATGTCATCACTATTGAGCATAAAATCCGGCAACTGAAAGATTTATAATTGTACCTACAGTGAAAATAGAGCAATAAAGTTTAAACATACTTGGCAGTTTGACAGTGTTTTTTAAAAGATGGTTTAGGCCCTAACTGATTTGGCTCAGTGGATAGAGCGTCGGCCTGCGGACTGAAGGGTTCCAGGTTCGATTCGGGTCAAGGGCATGTACCTTGGTTCCGGGCACATCCCCAGTAGAGGGTGTGCAGGAGGCAGCTGATCGGTGTTTCTCTCTCATCGATGTTTCTAGCTCTCTATCCCTCTCCTTCCTCTCTGTAAAAAAATCAATAAAATATATAAAAAAATAAAATAAAATAAAATAAAAAAAAATAAAATAAAAGATGGTTTAGGGCTCCTAAGATTCCTTCACGGTGTCTGTGAGGTTAAAATCATTTAAATAATAATAATAATAATAATAATAATAATAATAATAATAATAATAATGATGATGTTATTTTTACCCTCATTCTCTCAAAAGTGTGCAGTGGAGTTTTCAAAAAGCTGTATGACAGGTGCTACATCAATAAACTGATGCAGAAATAGATAGGAGACTCTGAGCTGACTTCTAAGCCAAAGAGATGTACCACAACTAACATCACTCTTTTCTTTAGATTTTCATTTATTTCATTTTGATAAAAATGCAGTATTTAGCCTGGCCAGTGGCTCACTGGTTGAGTGTTGACCTATGAACCAGGAGGTCACAGTTCTATTTCCATCAGGGCATATGCCCGGGTTTCGGTTTTGATCCCCAGTGTGGGGCATGCACGAGGCACCTGATCGATGACTTTCTCTCATCATTGATGTTTCTCTCTCTCTCTCTCTCTCCCTCTCCCTTCCTCTCTAAAATTAAAAAAACAACAATCCAGTATTTGTTATCATGATCAATCTTTTAAAAATGAATATTGAAAAGTTCTGTTTTAATTTATAACATGGTAAATATCAGTAGATCTGATCCACATAAACAAAAGCCGATCTAGAACAACTCTTCTGGGTATTATTCATTTGTGCTTCGGTTGAAGCAGGGTTGTGAGGCCTACAGTCCTTAGTGCTTGAATGCCCCACTGGCCTGGGTCCTTGAAGCATTTCCTCAGGGTCCATGTGAAAATATCTTCACTTATATACCCATCTGTGAATATTACTAACTACAGTAAAATAGTCCATTTCTTGGTGGCTGTTAATACCAAATGAATCTATATGTTTGCATTTGAAATACAGACAGAAGACATGCACATTCAGATCGGCCTTTGTGTGGACCAGTGCTGAAACCAGCAGGGAACATGCTGGTCAAGGTCCCGGGTTCCTGTCATTAATCTGTTCAGCAGTTAATCCTCTCCCAGATCAGGCAGCTCTGGCGATCCAGATGACTGCAGGCTGGCTGAAAACAGATGTCAGAGTTAAAGGAATAATTTAAAAAAAGGATAATTACTCTTTCTTCCCCAGATCAACAATTTAGCCTTCTAATTTAAGGTTGTTTTTTTTCTGGTTGGATGTTCAGATTTGTCAAGTAATTACTGCTATTTACTGCTGAAAGAAGTTATCTGCATTATCTGTTAGAGCAGCAGTTCTCAACCTGTGAGTCGAAACCCCTTTGGGGGTCGAACGACCCTTTCACAGGGGCTGCCTAAGACCATCGGAAAACACATATATAATTACATAATGTTTTTGTGATTAATCACTATGCTTCAATTATGTTCAATTTGTAACAATGAAAATACATCCTGCATATCAGATATTTACATTACGATTCAATTCATAACAGTAGCAAAATTACAGTTATAAAGTAGCAACGAAAATAATTTTATGGTTGGGGGTCACCACAACATGAGGAACTGTATTTTTTTTAAAAATATATTTTATTGATTTTTTACAGAGAGGAAGGGGGAGAGAGAGAGTTAGAAACATCGATGAGAGAGAAACATCGATCAGCTGCCTCCTGCACTTGTCCTACTGGGGATGTGCCCGCAGCCCTCGACCGGAATCGAACCCGGGACCTTTCAGTCCGCAGGCCGACGCTCTATCCACTGAGCCAAACCAGTTTTGGCGAGGAACTGTATTAATGGGTCTCGGCATTAGGAAGGTTGAGAACCACTGCGTTAGAGGAAACTGTAAAATAACTTGCCTGATAACCTTTGTTGATGCTTGCTTTCGAACTATAAAAGATGGCTTATGCAGCTGAGGTACTGTACCTCCGCCCACTTTCTGTTAACTTTAAAATAGTATGTTATCATTGAAAATAATATAAAAGGATACTCACTGATTTATTTCACAGTGGTTTCCTCTGGGAAGGAAAGTGGGACTGAAGGATGACAACATTCACTTTTTTCTCTATATTCTTTTGTAAATTGCCTGAGTTTCTAAAAACTAGAATATCTTCGTGTATTGGTATACATTTAAAAATTGTATTTAAAATGAGATAACATCAGCTTATTCTTGAAAAAGACATAAAATAAAACTCATCCAGAAACAGTCACTCTTAACTTTTACATGTGCCTACTCTTCATTTTTACAGTGCGTAAATGTTTGGCTTCCAGGTCAGGGATATGATGTAGAATATACAACTGGATAGCACTTTTTTCTTCCCACATTGTATCATGAATATGGGCTATGCCATGACATATTTCTAAAAAACATGGTTTGCAAAGAATGAGTAATATCATATGGATATAATATAATTTGTTTAACCCCTTTTCTGTTTCCCCTCCCAAACATATAGTTTATTTTTCTAAGTATAAATAACACGAGGAATAAAATGAGGCTTAAACATAAATGAGGCTATTTTTCTGGACTCTTAGAAGTCAAGATACTGAGTCACAGGCCATGCATTTTCCTAAGGTTCTTCATATGTCTGCCCAAAATGCGTATCAGTGCACGAATGTGTCCATCATATCTAACACTTGCTAATACTGTTCATTAGGACTTTTTTAAAAAAATATATTTTATTAATTTTTTACAGAGAGGAAGGGAGAGGGATAGAGAGCTAGAAACATCGATCAGCTGCCTCCTGCACACCTCCTACTGGGGATGTGCCCACAACCAAGGCACATGCCCTTGACCGGAATCGAACCTGGAGCCTTTCAGTCCGCAGGCCGACGCTCTATACACTGAGCCAAACCGGTTATGGCTTAACTATTTTTTTTTGATAATTTGATAGACAAGAAAGTATTTTGTTGTTTTCATTTGGATGTCTTTGATCACCAGGTGAAGTTGAATTTTTTTTGGCCTTTTGTTAACTGATTCATGCCCTATATTTTAATAAATGCATGCATTTTTTTTGTGTAGGATATCAACATTTTCCTGTCATATTTATTGCAAACTAGTTTTTCTTTTTTAAAAAAAATATATTTTATTGATTTTTTACAGAGAGGAAGGGAGAGGGATAGAGAGTTAGAAACACCGATGAGAAAGAAACATTGATCAGCTGCCTCCTGCATCCCCCCTACTGGGGATGCACCCGCAACCAAGGTACATGCCCTTGACTGGAATCGAACCCGGGACCCTTCAGTCCACAGGCTGATGTTCTATCCACTGAGCCAAACCAGTTAGGGCATAGTTTGTTTTCTTTTAAAGTTACTTTTTAATGTACTTAAGTTTATTTTTTGATAGATCTATATTTCTTTTTGTGGTTTATCCAAATGTTTTTATGCTGTAAAGACCTATACCCCTGCCATCTGATTTTTTGTAAACAGCTACACCCATTCATTTATGTATTGTCCACGGCTGGCTTAGTTCTATGTTGTATAGTAGAGTTAAGTAATTATGACAGACCACATGATCTGCAAAACCTAAAATAACGTAGTTTTGACTCTTAACAGAAAAAGTTTGCCTACTTCTGTTCTAGAAGATGATTTGCTATTTTTCACTGTTTCAGATAATTAATAAAACGCATAAACACATACCAATAGAACACAGAGATATAAAATTTAAGATCAAAGCTGAGACTAAAGCTGCCAATGTAATTACCTTCCAAGAGTCAGAAGCTTTGTTTTATGAATCACAGTGTGTGTGTGTGTGTGTGTGTGTGTGTGTGTGGAGTGGGATGTAATGAAGAAAGATCTTATAAATAAAAAGGCACCTTATGTTTTCTTAATGAGAGAGAACACAAAAGGAACAAAGGTTCATTTAATAACTGTAATGAATATTTAAAAATATAAACTAATTTCCTATTTAGTTTAGAAGAGAGGTGAAAAGATTAAAAGGAAGTAGAAGCAGGGGAAAAAAAAAAAAAGGAAAAAATCTACAGGAAAGTAAGAATCCAGCACAGTGTGTGGCAAGAAACAGACGCTATGTGAAAACTAAATAATGACTGAACATAAATTAAAGGGCCTTTGTCACTTGTCTACGGAGTTTAACTGGGCGGCAGGCATCACTTGCCCTTTGAAATGCTAACTTATTGTACAGCCTTCACAGTTCGTTTAAAATTGCAGATATCCCAAGAATAGGAGCCCCCAACAGTGCTTGATAAAATCCAGAGACAGGGACAGTCTGGCCTGTGTTTAAAAGTTCTAAATAGCCCTGGCTGGTTTGGCTCAGGGGATAGAGCGTCGGCCTGGGGACTGGGGGGGAGGAGGAAGGAGAGCCCTGGGTTTGATTCCGGTCAGGAGGCACATGCCTGGGTTGTGGGCTTGATCCCCGGTGGGGGGCGTGCAGGAGGCAGCCGATCGAGGATTCTCTCTCATTGATGTTTCTATCTCTCTCCCTCTCCCTCTGAAATAAAACAAAAAAAAGTTCTAAATAGATATTTATCTTGTTTCTCTTTCTCAAATATTTCATTCCGACAGAAGGTCATGGCTGACTGTAATCCTGAATAAAATTATTGGCTGAAGTAAATCAGAACATTGCAGAATATGTGCCACTTCAGGGCCCTGTGCTCTTTTTCCTGGGAATAATAAGCCCTTCCTCAATTATACAGAGACCATTTCTACCACGGGTGAAGGGCTCTAGCATGCTTGGACAGAATGCTCAGTACTAGTAAGAACAAGCTAATGAGGAAGAGGAGATTTATCAGCACAGACATTCACTGTGCTCAAGGGGGTGGGGAGGGGACACAAGATTAAGGATAGGGGCTCATGTTTAAAAAAGCTACATAAAGATACAAGTGGTTCTCCAACTTTAGAGTTACCTGCAGAGCCTGTTAAAGCCAAGAATGCTGGTCCCCAGCCCAAGTTTCTGACTCAGTGGGTTGCCAGGAAAAATAGAGGTTGCTCAGTTAAATCTGAATTTCAGATAAATAAATAATTTTTAGGTATAAGTATGTCCCAAATACAGCAAAAATTTTTATTTTGTTCGCTAAATCTGGCAACCCTAGAATCTGCATTTCCGACAAGTTTCTAGGTGATGCTGCTGCTGGTGGTTGTGGGGACTTTACTCTGAGAACCAAAGAGAAACAGGATATTATGTTATCATCAAGAGAGAAAAATTTGAGGGCAAGGATGCCTAGAGGAAAGGGCGCAAGGTGAGTCTTTAAGGATGCATAGAAGCTAGCCAGGAGAAGGATACTTAAGACCGAGAGGAAAGCCTTGAGAAAAAAAAAAAAAGAACAGGAAAAAAAAGGACAGTCTTCCTGATGTTGCTTATACATAAAAGCTTAATGCAGGTGGTGGTAGGTAAGATTAAAAGGGCAGGCAGGGTCCGGAGGGCATGTAGGACTGTGTGAAGCACTTCGAGTTTGCACTGAAAGACCATCAGTGCATGTGAAGGGTTCTAAGCAGAGCAGGTACTCCGTCTGCCCCTTCACAAAGAAACAGTGCTCTGACCCTCCGCCGTAATGATCTTCCTAGAAACACAGGTAAGACACGTATGGCAGCCGCTTTTATCTAATTCTGCACCAACACAAAGAAGGGAAGGAAATAAAAACAATACTAAGTTCATGTCTTCTTTCCAACTAATCCCAGCTCTTGAAGACTGAAGCTTACCTACAGGGAGAACATAAAATGTGAAGACATTGGTAACCTAGCTCTCATGGATGCCAAAAAGGACAAAGAGCCCAGATAAAAATGAGTGGTAACAAAACTCTAGTTGTTTAAAATATATTTTTTGGAAAAATTATATTCTTAAGTCTAAATCTGATAGGTAAAACTAAAGAAATAAGACTTAAAAATAGGTGTTGAACACTGCCAGTGTGCTCAGTGGTTGAGCTTCGACCTATGAACCAGGAGGTTAGATGGAATTTCTGGTTAGGGCACATGCCCGGGTTGCAGGCTCGATCCCCAGTGGGGGGTGTGCAGGAGGCATCTCTTTCATCTCTCCCTCCCTCTTTCTCACTTCCTCTCCTCTCTGAAATCAATAAAAATATATTTTTAAGAAACAGGTGTTGACTTAACAATGCTCACACCAATTAAGAAAAAAAAAAGGGATTGAAAAACAACAACAGACATCAAAAGTCACTTGCTCTCTAGTGCCACCTTTCTATATCAGTTCCTAAACATGGTTCGGGGCCTTTCTACTTGTCAGAAATGAAACCCATCACAATGAAGATGTCCATATCTAAGGCTGAGACAAGGCTCTGTAGTAATAGCATTCCTAACCCTGTCCAGGGGGGTCGGAATTCTATTTTACTCCTGACTACAATTCTCTCAACTGTAAAATAAGTAGACGATCTGCGAAGTACCCTTCCCTTTTATTACCGATCTCTAACATGACCTTACCTAGTTCCAGACACTATTTAAGAACACAAACATGTTGTTCAGTGTGTATTTAGAGCCATTACAATATGTTTGGCTTCGTCAAAGTCACCCTTCTAAGATGCTACATGTCCTGAAAGACCACTGACAACAGGAGTATACCTTTAAGGGTTGTATGTCACTATAGCATCGAAACCTAAATTCGAAAAAGGTTCCTGAAGTGCTGCTTTGGAATGACCCTTGTCTTCCTTGTACATACAACACTGAGGATGAATCCATTTTACGGCTCCAGGGAAAAGTTAACTTATCCGTACTCCATTTTTCCCCTCTTACATAAAGTGGAGATAATATCCGTACTTCATGTTTTCTTCTCTTACATAAAGTGGAGATAATAGCAACCAAAGCTAAACTATAACATACGGTGGCCATAAGTACGCAGCATTTAAGAGACCTCTGGACGGAAGCTGAGAGCTTACAAAAGGGCAGACAAAAGGTCAGGCTGGCTGAGGAGGGAGGGAGGCTAGCATCATCTCAGCGTATGACGATTGCAAAGCTGCCCTGAATGTGGATGAGCCTGCTTCCTCCAAGTGGGCACTTCAGGCCACTTGCAGAGATCACAGCGGGCCTTCGCACCCACGCCCTAAATCCTGACTCCCACGGAGAGCCATGGGGCCCTCGGGACCCACCAAGGCCATACCTGTAATCGCAGAGCTTCGGCTGACTGCCGCACTGCTGCGTGCACACCACACAGCAGCTGCACAGGGGGACGTTGCCCCGGATCCAGTGGTGGGGCATGGCGTCCGGGGCCTTGGCGTCCGGCTTGAGCACGATCTCCTTGCACTGGAAGCGCTTGTCGGCCTTCTTGAGGCAGCCCTCGTCCACGCGCAGCCCGCAGCAGTCGCAGAAGGCGCCCTGCAGGATGTGCTGCGCGCACACGCAGCAGTAGGTGGGGTGGCTGAACAGGTCCGTGTCGTGCCAGCCGTGCTTGCTCTTGCGGAAGATGTCCCTGCGGTGCAGCTGCCGGCGCGACCGCTGAAGGCTGCACCAGAAGGTGATGAACACGGGCAGCAGCACCGAGCACAGCGTCCACAGGACCAGGTGCCCGTCCGCGAACAGGCCCGAGTAGGGCTCCGGCCGCTTCTCTCCTTCCATCTTCCCCAGGGGCGATGCCTAAGGAGGGAGACGCGGGCGGTCCGCCTCGGGCTCCTGCGCCCGCGGACCTGCCGCGCCGAGGGGGCGGCGCCCCGCGCGGCCCCGCCCCGCCCCGCCCTCTCCCTCCGCCCGCGGCCTGCCCGCCCCTCGCCTGCTGCCGGCGGGGCGCGGAGGTCTGTACCCGCCGCCTCCGCGGGAAGCCCTGCGCTCCGGGAGCCTTGGCGCACGTGGGCCGCGCGGCGCCGGCCGGCGTCCGTCACCGTTGTTATCCCGCGCCCCGCGCGCCCCGTCACCCGCGGCCGCCGGGCCGGCTACCGACGCATCCAGCTGCTCCGGGCCCGGCTCGGCTCCCGCAGGCCCCGCCCGCCGGCCGCGCGGCCCCCACCCCTTCGCCAGGCCTCCGTGACCCCGGCCTCCGTCCCTCCCGCGCTCGGGCCCTACCTACCTCGCGCGGGGCGGAGGCGCGGTTTCGGGGGGCCAGGCCTTGGGCGCCCTCCGGCCCTCGAGCGGCCGCGCGCAGGAGCCCTTTTCCGGGCCGGCCAGCGGCGCCGACGTCAGCGAAGAGGCCGGGACAGTCCCCACGCGCTCGGAGGAAGGTGGGCAGGGGCCCCGGCGGGGGCGCGGGGCGGGGCGGGGCGCGGGGCGGGGCGGAGGTGTGAGGGGATGCGCAGGCCGACTGGCAGGAGGGGGCGGGGCCTTGGGAAGAGGGCGGGGTTGAGCGAAGGGGCGGGTCTCCAGGGGCGTGGCTTAGGGAGAACTTTGGTAGGAGTAATAAGAAGTGGGGGCTTTGGAGAGGGTGGATGGTTGAGCCCTGTAAGTCTGCAACCATAGAAAGTTCTAGTATGAATGATTTACAGTGTGAGTCAAGCTTATCTCAGACCTTCAACCTCCCCTCCTCCTCACTGTCTGGTGGAGGTGGGAGGTTGGCACAGTTTGGAATGTTGGAAGGGAGAAAACCGGAAGTTTTGAAAGTGTCATCGTATATAATAAAAGGCTAATATGCAAATCCACCGAACTGCAGAAAGACTGATTGCTATGATGTGCCCTGACCACCAGGGGGCAGACGTTGAATGCAGGAGCTGCCCCCTGGTGGTCAGTGTGCTGCTCAGCCAGAAGCCAGGCACAGGCTGGCGAACGCAGCAGCAGCAGCAGCAGCAGCAGCGCTAAGGACCCCTCAAGGGATGTCCACCTGCCAGCTTAGGCTGCGGGGAGCGGGCATCCCCCCAGGGGTCCCAGATTGTGAGAAGGCGCAGGCCAGGCTTAGAGGACTCTCTCCCCCCCCCCCCCCTCCCGCCCCAGTGCACTAATGTTGTAAACCAGGCCGCTAGTATACTAATAAAATGGGGGGATCCAAGTCAAACATTGAGAGAGGTCACCTGGGCTCTTATTTGTTAAACGCATACTGGCGGAAGGCTTCCTGTGTGCCAAGCACTGACCGAGGGGCTCCAGCTCTCACAGAGTGCCGGGCCTGTTGAAACGTGCCTAACAAGAAGCATTTATCAGCCCTGTTTATAAAGCCCAGCTTCCATCTTGGCATTTGCTAGCACCTGGCTGAGTTGATCATCCCCACTTTACCGATGAGGAAAACCAAGGCGCAGAGTGATTGAGAAACCTGCCTGATGTCACAAAGTCAGTGGGAGTTGGAACTGAGGTCCCTTTGTTTGAACTTGGCCACCCAAGTTACCTTCCATCTAAATGAAGCCATCCAAGAGAGACTTCCTTTTATTTTGTTATTTCTCTAAGACACTTGCCCCAGGGTTTTTGTTAACATGCAGATTTTGATTCCTTTTCTTTGGGGAAGAGGCCTGAGGGTCTGCATTTTGAACAAGTGCTGCTGGTTTTGCTGGTAGAGTATGTAACAATCTGGATTGTGGGGATCGAGGGGAAAGTGCGAAGAAATGGGAAAAGTGTTAGGTGGCATGGGAAGGCCCTCGCAGGTCTCTGTCCTCTTGTGCTTGTCGGTTCACCTCTCGGGGCCTCAGGTTCCTCGCTGGTAACGAGGGAGGTTGAATGAGATCTCTGAAGCCTCTCTTCTCTTCTGACAGCCTGCACTGTATATGGAAATGTCATTGTCTTTTATGAATCCTCGTTGAGGCAGAGCCTTTAAATTAGTTTGGACTTGAAAAGATAACAAAAGTATACACTTTTTAAGAGTGAGATTTAAAAAAAAAAATCCCGTTATAGAACATTTGGAAAATATAGAAAAGTAAAAAGGAAGAAAAAACAATCATCCAACTCTTACCCCAAAGACAGCCTATGTTTGAACATTTTGGCCTATTTTCTTCCATTGTTTTCTATGGAAACAGTGGTTTACTTTGTGGTCTACGTAATTTTGATCACATAGTAGATATATTCTCTGTCTGGCTATTTTTTAATTTAACATTACAAAGTAACTTTTACACATTTTTATAAATTTGTATTTAATGGTTGCATAATATTCCATTCTATGATAGCTCACAGTATATGTTAAGCTTACCTTTGTTGTTGGCTATTTAAGTTGTTTCTAATATTTTGCTATTATATATAACTCCTCTGTTTAGGGTTTTTCTTGAGAGTCTCACATTTCGCTAAAGGATATGAAAGGTTTAAAGCTTATGGAAAAGTTTTTAACAGTAATAGTTTCTCTTTGCCAAGAGAAAATCAGGGAAATTTATGTGTATAAGGACAGATTAATAATATTACTGCATCTGGGGAAAACACTCTTATTCCACAAAGTATTACTACTATTAAAGGCAATAGTAATAATCATTCTTATTATAGCTATGCAGATCCTAGGCACTGTGCATAGTTTATCATCCTCATTTTACAGATGAAGAAGACTTGCTTGATGTCACACAATCAGGAGTCATCTGAGTTGGGGCTTTGAACCCAGTCAGTGAGATGCCAAAACCTGTGATGCTCATAACCCAGGTAGGTATCTGAAGGTGGTCTTCGATCACCTGCTTCAGCATCATCTAACCAGGTCTTGACCAGGTCTCCCAAATTAGAATTGTGATGGAGCCAGGAATCTATCTGCCTTCTTAACAGTTTCCCCAGGTAATTCTCTTGTGAATTTATTAAAACTTTTTTTTGTTTGTTTACATTGTGAACTATACCACATATACAACAGATTTTATAAAACATATGCACAATTAAAAAATAATAAACACCCGTGGACTCATCACGAAGGTTAACCTATTGGACATTGGGAGAGGAGGAAGAGGTGGGGACAGGAAGGGGGCGGCCTGGGGAGAAGTGGGCCGGGAGGAGAGGGGGGGATGGGAGTCGGGTGTGGGGTGTGTGTGCCCTGGGTGCTGCCTGCTGCAGGGCGTGCTGAGGAGCCCTGGCTCTGGGAAGAGAGGGCACACAGCATGAAGGGGCCTCCAGAACTGGGTGTGACAGCCAGGCACACTAGCGAGGAGGGGCCATTCACGCAGCTACTGTCACTCTGTCTGTGAAGACACTGCCTCCAATTCAAAGGGAAACTTGCTCAGAAAAACACAACAGACACTCACCCCTGCCCTAGATTCCTGACTGTCAACATGCTCCAAGCCCTTCCTGCACTTGCCCGAGGGGTGATGTCATGGGGTCTGTCCCCGGCTCCCTCAATGGCCCAGCCTTATCTCTGCTTGGCAAGGCCCCTGGGACCAAAAGAGGAGCAATCTGCTTCACTGAAGACAGGAGACGACCAAGATGCCTGACTTTTCCTGGCAGCCTCAGCCCCCTGAGGATTTCCCTGGGAACATCCTGAAGCTTATTTGTGAGCCATCAAGGCACCATCAAGTTACCTGAACTTTTCAGTTACTTGGAGAGTAGTGTCCCCATTTTAAAGGTGCAATTCGATAAGTTTTGGCAAAAATGTACACCTGTCTGATCAGACAGACTTGAAGTCTCCCAAATACCTAATTTCTGTGGGTTTTGATCCTGGGAGTTGAAAACGTAACATTGCAGTGCTTTCCAACCAGGGAGGGAGATGACAGAGAGCCACCAAGGAGATGGCCAGGCTGTCACTGAAACCTGTGCACAGCTGGACGGAGCTGGAACGGGAGCCTGTGATTTAGTGAGGCCCGGTCTCCATTTGGATCCACATACCTTTCCCAAGTGCCTTTTTAGTGATCAAAACCGTGCAACCAAGTATTAAGAGAAAACTCAGAACCGGGCTTCTGAGTGGCTGCATCACAGTGTTAATCGAGGTTTTCAAAAAGAATGAACATGTTTAATCGCATTGCCACTCACTAAGAATATCATACCTAATATGTGGGTAACAGCAAAATGTGGCTGTGAATAAATAAGTTATTATTATTATTATTATTATTATTATTATTATTTTTAAAAAAAGAACATTGGGCCCTAGCCGGTTTGGTTCAGTGGATAGAGCGTCGGCCTGTGGACAGAAGGGTCCCAGGTTTGATTCCGGTCAAGGGCATGTACCTTGTTTGCGGGCACATCCCCAGTGGGGGGTGTGCAGGAGGCAGCTGATCAATGTTTCTCTCTCATCTATGTTTCTGACTCTCCCTCTCCCTTTCTCTCTGTAAAAAATAAATAAAATATATTTAAAAAAAACCAACATTGGGAGCCTGTCCCGTGCCCACCTGATGGCTACCCTTCCTCCCCCGGCAGGACACTGCTATCCAAATTTGTGTGTTCTTCATTCCCTTGCTTTTCTTAATAGTTTTCCTGCCCCTGAAAGTATCCCTAAACAATATGGTTTTGTTTAGAAAAATAAGCTCAAACCCGCCCCAGCAGGAAGTAGCCATGAAGCCTTGACTCTAGGAAGGCTCCTGGAGGAGGTAAGCTGAGTGGGGACTGGGTCAGAGTCTGAATCCCGCTTCCCTGACAAGATCCCACATGGGGGGGGGGGGGGGTGGTGGGAATCAGTGGGCAGGTCCTGGGAAGATTGCTAATGACCTGGGACACGTGAGCAGGTCTGTATTTGGAACGCCATGCCAGGCAAAAACATGGCTGGGAGAGAGCTTGCTTTCTCTTTTGCCTTCTTAGCTCACTAGGACCTCCCTCAAGTTCTTACAAAAAGGTTAACATGGCATGCTCCTTGGGGAGAAATGAGGATCTTCCGCTGACCCAGGGGTTAGGGAAGTGGAACCTCACCAGCTCATGGTTGTCAAGATAAACAAAATATGTACAATCTGTCCCAGGCTCACCCAGGCAGTCTGTGCTCGGCGTGTCTGCCCCTCGCGGTGCCAAGCCCATGGCACCTTGTGCCCGTCTGGACCCCCTGCCCTTTATGTCGGAGCACAGTGGTCATCCTGGGTTTCCCTTCACCGCTCTCCTGTTTGCCGGGACTCGTGGCTTCCCCTTTCCCGGTGAATTCTCTCGTTTTTGTGGAGCACATCTGTCAGTAACGTTTAGAGTGAGGGCACGTGGGAGGCATCATTTTGAGGCCCTGCCTGTCTACACATTTCTTTATTCCGCCCTCCGCACCTGTTCGTTTATCTGGTCTAGAATTCTGGGTTGGGAACGATTATACTTCACGACATTGAACACGTTGTTCCATTCTGCTGCTCTTACTGCCGCTGAAGAGAGGTCTGAGGTTATTCTTACACCTGGTCCCTTGAGTGGGCCTGGTTTTTGCTTTCTGGAAGCTGGTAGAATCTTCTCTTTTTCTCTGGTGCTCTGGCAGTCCACAGAGGTGTGCCCGCCTTCCTCTGAGCTGCCAGGTTTGCTGGGTCCTTCAGTTCTACAGTTGCTTTGTTGTCTTCCGCCTCTCTATTGTCTGTGTTCCTCTTTTTGGATACTTCTGTTGTTTGATCATTATGGAGTATAAAGTACAGAGTTTCCATAGATCCGCCTGTCCCCCACATGCACAGCCTCTCCACTGTCATCTTGGGGCACCAGAGGCACATTTGTCACAACTGCCAAACCTTCCTTGACCCACCATCATCACCCACAGTCCATCGTTTCCACGAGGGCCCACTCTTGGCGTTGTGCAGTCTATGGATTTGGACAAGTGTACCCACCATTCCAGTGTTACCCAGAAGAGTTTCACTGCCCTAAACGTCCTCTGTGTTCCAGCTCTTCATCCCCACCTCCCTTCTAACCCCTGGCAACCCCTGATCTTTTTATTATCTCAATAGTTTTGTCTTTTTCCAGAATATCGTATAGTTGAAATCATACAGGATGTAGCCTTCTCAGATTGGCTTCTTTCACTGAGCGATATGTATGGAAGGTTCTGCCATGTCTTTTCAGGGTTTGAGAGCTCATTTCTTTTTAAATGCTGAATAATATTCCATTGTCTGGATTTGCCTGTTTATTCACCTACGGAGGGACATCTTGGTTGCTTCTGGGTTTTGGCAATTATGAATAAACTACTGTAACATCTGTGTGCAGATTTTTTGTGTGGACATAAGTTTTCAACTCATTTGGATAAAGGTCCTCTTTAAAAAATTTTTTTTTCTTTCTTGCTTTTTTTTTTTTTAAACAACTCTCTCTTGCTCTCCTTTTTGCTCTATTTTTCTAAAAAATTTCCATAGCTCTAACCATGAATCTTTCAATTTAGTTTTTAATTTATATTACGGTTTCTAATTTTGAAAAACTTCTTTGTTGATTTATTTTGTGAATATTCCTTTTTACAGCATCCTGTTTATATTTCGTGGGAGAAAAAAAATCTTTCAGAGGATATTGTCGGTGGTGGTTGTTTGCCATGTCAGCCTGCCTCATCTCTGCCCCAATTTGCTTTTTCTTTGGTCCCTGTTGTCCTCATTTTCCACGTCCAAGGCTTTCTCGCATGTCTCGTGAGCCTCCAGGGGGCTCTGGTGCGCCTGAAGGTTTGAGAGCCTTTGCTAGACTTCCTCTTATCTCACCGAAGCTTATCGCAACTGAGCGCCCACAGAGAAAAACAACACACATTTCAGTACTTTTCCCCTGAAGAGCCAGAGCGGTTCTCTCCCCCTTAAAGGCCCAGCACTTCTCCTGGATGAAATGTAACATGACAGTAGCCTTGGAGGTGGTTTCACCAACGATTCCGCCGTGCCCCACTCCCCTCCTGTGTTTATTTGTACCACCTGGCATTCCTGCAGCTTTGCCAGTGCTCCTGTCATTCCTGTTTAGGTTGGAGAGACGCCTGGCACCGGCTGTCAGGACCCTGCCGCTGACCTTGGCTGTCCTTACCTGCTGGGCAGACTTAAGTTGAGGCCAACGTCCTGGCCCGGAGCAGAAATGATAGCCCCCTTGGGGAAGCGCGCCGCAGGCCGGAAAGGCCCCCGTGCAAGGCCAAACCATCTTGCCATTGTGTCGCTGCTCCCAACAGGAAAGTGCGTGTTTGTGTAGAATGCTGAGGGCATGAAAAGGGAAAGAGAACTGAAGGGCTTAGGGTGTGGACACCAAGGGAGGAAATCCACTCATTTTCAGAAGGGGCCCCATTTTTTTGGTAAATACAGATGCATTTTTATTTCCACAACATGTAAAATTATATGTCTTACTATGTACGTGATTAATCTATCATTTGGTTATTTCAAAGATATTTACAGACTTTCTATCACGTATCTGAGAGTGGGGCGGGTATGCACGTATAAATAAGGGTGATTTCACAAAGAGAAGAAGGAATGATAATCATAGCAACAACAACAGTGGTTTCCAATAGAATGAGGGTTACTATTCTTTTCTTTATAGATGAGAAAACAGTGATTTGGACAGTTTGCCCAATGTCATGGCTTCGGTGTAACACAGGTAATAAATTTCAGAGCCGGGATGCAAGCAAGCCCAGGTCTATTGGTGACTCTGGAGCCCCTAACCTTGACCATTAGACCACGTGACCTCCAGGGTGGATGTGTATTGACCTTTGAAGGAAGCGTCCATCAGGATCCTATGATTAACTTAGATCCCATAGCTCCAGATTTGGATACACTAACCATCCCAGCAGAATCCCCTGTGTCAGTTAGCTGTTGTCAGAGTGTTGCTGTGTAACAAACCACTCCCAGACCCAGTGGCTTAGAATAACAGTAGTGTAATCTCAGGAATCTGCAGGTTGGTGGTAGCTCTGCTTCAGGCGGTGATAACTGGGGGTCCACTGAGCTAGGCTGGGCTGGCTTGCGAGGGTCTCCTGTAAGCGGCACATGTGTAGACTTGGTTCCTTGCTCAGGTACTTTTCGTGTGAGTTAATTCTGAGGCTCGGCTCCAAGGGGCAGTAGCTATCTGGGGGAGCTCTTGGGGTAGCAGTGGCAGCGATATAGGAGGGCAAATACACTTCATACCCCTGTCGGTGTCAGTCTGCTACCATCCCATCGTCCAAAGCAAGTCACTTGGTTGAGCCCAAGGTCAAGGGGCAGGACTGCAAAGTCATGTGGCAAACAGCACGGATATGCAGTGGTGGTGGTGGTGAAGAATGGATGCTAATAATTCAATCTACCACAGCTGCCCGCACAGTATGCTTGTAAATTAATGGGTGTATGCGTGCACATGCAATTTATGGAGTTACTATTATTAAAAACTATAAAAGAATTATATGTACCTTGTAAAAATATAGAGTTGATATGCTGGTGGGAGAGTCAGACAATAAAAAAAAAGAAATAAAAACAACGATGTAAAGGGATGTTCCAATTTATTTGATTGACTCTGGACACACTGTAAGTCTCTTGGGTCAGATTCAACATCTTTCTATAGTTAAAAAAGGATGTTCCCTTGTCCTTGAAGTTCCTTTAGCTCACAGAATTTGAAATCACGTCTTACTCTTCTAAAGCAGCATTCGGTGCAACGTCGGGAGCTTGATGTCAGCTTTCTCACTGTTTAGGGTAGTTAAAAAAGATGGGAAACCCACGCAAGTGAAGATGTTAGTTATGTTAGGGTGCTGTGAATATGGATGGTAGCGTTCTTCCTTTATATTTTCTCAATGCAGTTCTCCTAGGCCTGAGCATCTGATGAAGAACTAAAATCATAGCAAAAAGTCTTAGGCACGGTAGCACCCTCTCTTTCCACATCCAGTAGATTCTCTGGGATTGCTGGCAACTTCTAGAATAATTAACCTTAGTGGCCTTGAGTTTCCTGATCTTGGTTGTCCCTGGTTTTGCTCTTTTACTCTGCCACCTTGTGGATTTTGGGGAAATTGCATCTTCTGCTGTGAGCCCTACTGACTCACCTAATTGATCTGGCCGCTGCCTTTCCTGGGAAGGAGGGGGATGGGAGGGTAGAAGAGAGTTCTCCCCATCACAACAAGGTGACTTTGCTTTTTCAGTTTTTCCATAGTACTCCCCTCCCGCTTTGGAACAATGTCCTCAGGGGCCTGGCTGATGGGCATTTGAATGGCCCTGCCAGTATCACACCTGAAAGGCCCTCTCCACTGGAGACCTGAGCCAGCATCCCAGGGTGGGATCCAGGCCCCTGACTTCCTCCAGTACTGCCTCTCCAGTTCACTAGAGGCCCCCTCCTTTTTTCAAATTAGGAAAGTAATTGAATCTTACTTAGAGCTTACAGTCCAGTCAAGGAGACAGATTAAACAATATATACAAATAAAGACAATATTTACACATTGTGGTGAGTGCTATGAGATAGTAATGTTGGTAGGGGTAGGGAACTTGCATTAAGTAGGCTGGTAAAGGCAGGCTTGCCTGAGCAAGAGACATTTCAAATGGAAATCTGAAGGATGGGAAGGATCCAGTCATTAAAAGAGGGAGGAAGAGAATGTGCAAAGGTCCTGAGGTGGAAAAGAACTCGTTAGGTTGAAAGTAACTAAGTGTGACTAGATTGGCGTGAGCTGGAGGGGAGTGATCCGAGTGGGGTTGGGAAAGGCAGCAGGCACAGGTAATACAGCTTCTTTTTTTAAAAAAAATTTTAATTTATTGGGGTGACATTGGTTTGGAAACCATACAGGTTTCAGGTGCACAACTCAGCAAAACATCATCTGCACACAGCATCTTGTGCCCATCGCCCAAAGCAAGGTCTCTTTCAGTCCAGGGTCTTGTGGGGCACCGTGAGGATTCTGATTTTGTGAGAAAATAAAGGATTCTTTTCTATCTCTTCAAAATAGTCTTTATTCAACAACTGTAAGTAAATGTAATATACAAAGGAGATTGACTAGTAAACCTCATGCTGCTAAATAAGGCATTTCAAACTTTAGCAAAAAACAAACATCTCTTGTACATTTGACTATACTTGGTTACCGTTGCCTTCATTAGGTTTACTCACAAAATTAGTACAATACTGCCTCCTTATTGGCAGTTTTGCTTTCTGAAGTTAGTTACCTATGGCCAATAGTGGTCCAAATATATTAACTGGAAAATTCCAAAATGAACCAATTCATAACTTTTCTTATTTTTTAAACATGTAAGATTTATTTTTCTCATAAAAGTTTTTATTTTTCAATTATAGTTTGCATTTAACATTGTTTTGTGTTAGTTTCGGGAGTATAGCACAGCAGATAGACATTCACATAGGTTACAGAGTGAAGAATTATTAAGCAGAGAAGTGATGAGGTCCAATTTATATTTTATATTTCTATTTTAAGAAGATCCTCATTGCTGTTGCACGGAGAATGGACTGAAATGAACAGGAAGGGAAGCTGGGAGAGCATTTGGGAGCTTGGTGCAGGAAGCTGGGTGAGAGGTAACAGCAGCCTAAACGTGGGTGTTGGCAATAGAGATGGAAGGGTCTAGCCCAGCCGGTGTGGCTCAGTGGTTGAGTGTCCACCTATGAAACAGGAGATCAAGATTTGATTCCCGGTCAGGGTGTGCTTGATCCCCAGTAGGGGGTGCACCGTAGGAGGCAGCCGACCAATGATTTTCTCTCATCACTGATGTTTCTATCTCTCCCTCCCTCTCCCTTCCTCTTTGAAATCAATAAAAATATTAAAAAAAAAAAAAGATGGAAGGGTCTAAACCAGCGGTTCTCAACCTGTGGGTCATGACCCCTTTGGGGATTGAACAACCCTTTCACAGGGGTCGCCTAAGACCATCGGAAAACACATATATAATTGCGCATTGTTTTTGTGACTAATCACTATGCTTTAATTATATTCAATTTGTGACAATGAAATTGGGGGTCACCACAACATGAGCAACTGTATTAAAGGGTCGCGGCATTAGGAAGGTGGAGGACCACTGGTCTAGAACCACGCTGGCCAGTGTGGTAGCAATGAGCCACATGTGGCGACTGAGCATGTGAAATATGTAAGTGTAGGACACATACCAGATTATGAAGACATGGTACAAAAAAAAGTAAAATACCTCATTTATAATTTGTTGACCTTAATTACATGTTGAAATAAGAATATTTTGGATATTTCATGTGAAATAAAATATAATAGAAAAAGTTTCATGCGTTATTTTACTTAAAAAAATGTGGCTACTAGAAAAATGTGAACTACACATGTGGCTTACATCTGTGGATCACATTATGTTTTTATTGGACAGCATTGATATAAACAAAAGTTACTGAATGAAAAAAACACTTTATAGTAAAATTACATTGGACACTAGAAATTTCTAGTTAGGTCTAAGTTGTTTTTTCTGGTTCACAAAAGATGATGTTTATTTGATAAGACAATACAGTTAGTGTTTGATATAATCACAAGCAGCAAAAGAAATAAACAACTTGACAATGTACATTAAAAAACCAAGATGTTTAATGTGACAAATATGTTTCTAAAATAAATCCCCTAAAATTCCTCAGTTATTGAAAACGGTATAAACACAGAAAAATGTTAATAGCGACACAATACATAAAACCAAACATCTAATTTTGGGCAAATTAACATACAAGGCAACTTTGCTACCAATGTATGATTTTCTTTTTTCTTGCTTACAAGCTCTTCAGACTATCTTTATATCAACAGAGACGGCAGAACATTTAGGTTTCATATCAGTTACACAGCATTAGTATAAACTCAGACAATACTGAGAGAGTTGTTTTCTTTTGAGCTGGCTAAGTAACCACTAAAACATCAGATCATTGCTGTGAATTGAGAATTTTATCCCAAATAAATGTCACATACTGTCCAGACATAGTTTTGTAATACATTTAGTAATTCTTTTATGTGATATTGGTAGGCAATTTATTTTTTAAAAAATGTTTTATTGATTTTTAGAGAGAGAGAGGAAAGGAGAGGGATAGAGAGATAGAAACATCGATGAAAGAGAAACATCATCGATTGGCTGCCTTCTGCAACCCCTCTCAAGGATTGAGCCCATAACCCTGGCATGTGCCCTAACCAGGAATCAAACCAGTGACCTCTTGGTTCATGGATTGATGCTCAACGACTGAGCCACACCGGTTGGGCGGTAGGCAATTTAAATTTAAAAGGACTTTAGCTAATTTAGATTTTATTGTCTTTGAAAAAATAAATGGCATGGAATATGGCTACTTACAGTCTTTTGGCAGAATACTGCACGAGGCTTTAAAGACAGAGAACTTGCCTCTATTTCAGCATCCATAATGTGCGCACTTGGATATGATTTCACCGGTCTGAGCCTCACTTCCTTATTTGTGAAAGGGAGATGGAGAATGGTGAGAAGTACTAGCTGCCATGCGGTTCATCTCCCTCCCTCCTTCTAATCACACCCCACAAGATAGGTACTGTTAACTCCTTTTTACTGGAGGGGAAACTGAAGTTCAGGAAAAGTGACTTACCGAAGGTTACATTGCGAGTAAGAGGTGAGGCCAGGACACGAGTCTTGGTCTTTCTGGCTCCAAAGTCAGCAAAAAAAATTTTTTTTCATCCTCATGGTGCCCCTTGCTAATTTCCCTGCTTGCCTCTGAAATGACTGGTAAAGTCAAATTAGATTGGCGAACAGGCTTTGGAAAAAAATGCCATAAGATATGCAGATGTCAGAGATGATTCATTCTCAGTGAAACAGGCGCATACCCTGAAGCTGCAGATGAAAACTCAAAACTTCCTGGATGGTGAACATAGATCTGTGTAAGTGACACGGGTGTCTCATGTGGCTTTCTCGAATTCAAGCTCTGCAAGTCATGTTACGGAGGGTTAACTTCCTGCCTCAGGATGAGCATTTAGAGGAACTCAGAGGGAGGTATGTTCGTGGTCGTATTAAAAACTCAGGGTCAGATGCACTTAGCATCACACGGTCCGCGCTGCTAGTCAAAGCGTAAACAAGCCTGGGCTGGACACGGCTCCCTTCAAATAGGCTGGCTCCTGGGGGTGCGGTTCATTCTGCAGCAGGCAGAGCAAGGAAGAGGCAGGATGAAGAAATTATTTGTGTTTGCGCTCCTTCTCACCTTCCTGACCTTCTCAGGTGAGCATTCACTGCAGAAACGCAGCCTGTTTCTAGGCGGACGTGATAACCTGAAATAAGTCTAGTTTAGGTTTTTAAGGTGTTTTTTTTTCTTATTTCAAATAAGATGTGTATTGTTTGTATAAGTACATATTAATGTATAATAATTCAATGACTTGTTTTCCTAAGAGCAGGCTCCCAGCGTTGGTATCCCCTTAGGGATACATTTTGTTTTAAATATTTAGATGTGTTTGAATACTAATTCTCAAAAACGCTGATAAATCTTGGAGTATGCCTTCTTTTAGCATTCATACGAGATCACAAAATTCGGTAGACTTTTACTTGCTGATGCCTTTTAGAGTTCGTGTGTGTTTATGAAAACATAATATAATTTTATTATCAAATATCTTCTTTGAGGGACCATGCGTGATGACCAAGTTGAACATAATCTTGTTGTCACGGGGTATTTTCCAATAACAGCTTTAACTTGGTTTAGTGTATTGAGGATTTAAAAAAAAAAAAAAAATCCCACAAGGCAAACCTATAGGACGAGAAACACATGGACTGGAGAGCTGGAGAAAATATGTCTTAAAAAACATGTAATTAACACCCACTTATGAAGGAACGGGCCATTGCAGTTGGTAAAGATGTCTAAGCTTGCAGGGCTGGCTCTGAGGCAACCGTATTAGAAACCATTCAGAATTCCTCCCTGAGCCGCCTGGAATGCCAGGTCCCCTGGGACAGGCCCCTGTGAAAGAACTTTTGTGTTTTGACTGAAATGGAACTTGCTAATCATTTGCCTTGCACTGTGAACTCGTGTGCCCCGAGTCCCTAAGGCCCTGTCCTGACTTTTCCAGGGGCCTCCCCGATTCTGACGGAAAAGGAGGCCAAACAGCTCCTGAGGTCCCGGCGCCAGGACAGGCCGGGCAAACCCGGGTTCCCCGACGAACCCATGCGGGTGAGTGCTGGGCTCAGGCTATGCGAAGGGAGAGTGCCATCGATAGGTCCCTGCAATAGGAAATGAAAATGGGCGCTGGTCCCAGCCCAGCGGGGTCTGCAGGATGGAGGTTCTGTTAGACCCGGAGGCAGGTGTCAGGTGACCTCACCTTTCATTCAGGCCTCTCCTCCTCCAGAGGGGCCAGCTTCCTTGCCTGCTGCTCACACCGTATTTAAAATGCCAACAGTGGGCCCATGGCGGGGTCCCAGGATTCTGAGTAGCCTGCTGGGTGTCAGCTCTGAATCGGGTGCTAAAGAGCTGTGCCCCTAGCAGGTGTCAACCCCGTCTTCTCCCTCTTCCCTTGGGGTCTGGGTGGGCTGGACCACGACGTCCTTGGCCAACGACAGCCTCTCTGGGCAGGCAGAAGCTCTGCTCCAGCCTCCTGAGGGGCTCTGTCTTTACCTTGTGCCTTGGATTTTCGTCTTTGGCCTCAGCTCTGCCCTGTGGGTTTGTGGTGTCCGCCTGCCTGGTCTTTGGAAACAAGCCCCCCCGCCCCCCACTATCTCCATCTCGTGATGGTGATCGTGGTGGATGTTTCTAGAACCTGCCACACTGGCCACAGGCCACTTCAGGCCTGGCTGGTCCTCCCTTCTGGTGGTGAAAATAATGATAATCCTGTTATTTGTGTCCTACTCAGGGGAGGGTAGAAGTCGCAGTGACAAAGTTAGCATGCCTGGGAAGCCGTGTCTGTGCCCAGGCTGATCTTTTACCCGGTGCCCACTTCAGCTGGGCACTGGGCTCCAGGCTCACCCTCTTTTCATGGGTCTCCATGTGGAGGTCTAGAAGGATCTATAGCAGCGTTAACCTTCCCTGGCTGCAGAATCATGTGAATAATCCTGTTAGTTCATAAAAGAGGCTCTTATTGAGATGCTGTGTCACAGTGATGAGGAATGCTGACGGTCTGGGTTCAAATCTCCCTTCTGTAACTGTGTGACCTTGGGGATATTTCCTCACATTTCTGCACCTCAGGACCCTCATCTACAAAACACTAATAATAAATATTATCACTTACATTATTATAATGATAACTAACAATGTAAAACAATTACTTTAGCCCCAGCGGGTTTGGCTTAGTGGATAGAACGTCGGCCTGCGGACTGAAGGGTCCTGGGTTCAATTTCGGTCAAGGGCACATGCCTGGAGTTGAGGGTTTGATTCTCAGTAGGGGGCATGAAGGAGGCAGCCCATCAATGATTCTCTCTCATCATTGGTGTTTCTATCTCTTTCTCCCTCTCCCTTCCTCTCTGAAATCAGTACAAATATACTTAAAAAAATAAAACAATAAAACTATTTTATGAGCTTAGTATAAAGTAATTCATACTAAGGCACTTAAAACAGTACTCAGCAAACAGTAATGACTCCGTGAGCATTAAGCACCAGGGCCCGGGGGGTGCAGAGGCTGCAGACAATGGCCTGGGCTTCAGCTCAGAGTTGGTGGCAGACACAGGACTCAGCAAGTGGCTATTGTACAAAGTGGTTTTGAAACAAAGCAAGGACTCTGTGCTGTTAGGGGTGGACGTGGCTGTTTCCTTTGTTTGAAGAAATCCGAGGTGTCTCGGAATATCCAGGCGCAGGGAGGAAGGGCACTGGGAGGCGGGCAGGGCCAGGCCAAGCAGGATCCCAGTGCGTCGGGCTTTGTCTTGTGTGCAGTGGAGGATGTTGGAGGATTTTTCAGGTGGGGGAGTGCAGATTGGGGCTTTAGACACGCGGTTTGGGAAGCAATTAGAACACAATGCTCAGAGGTGGGGTGGGGAAGAGGAACCTCAAGGGGCTGTGAAGGAATTTCGGGGAGATATAGGAGGAACCAAGAAAGGGTGGGGTCAAGCATGGGGAAGAGGGCTCGGAGGGGGGCGGGCATGGGCGTGGGCAGGATGCCTGGCTTGAGGCTCCCTGGGGCTCCCACTGCAAAGGCAGGAAGGTGTGGTTCCTCGCGAATCAAGGGGCCTTAGGCTCCTAACTCCTTGGTCCCTGTGGCGTAGGACACGAGCCCTCGTGGCAGTTCTGCCTGCCAGCCCCCACCTCCCGTCTTCCACTTTTGACCTTGACTCTGGTATCTGGGCTCTATGGAAGGACGGGTGGTGGCCACAGAGGTCCTCTGAGAGCCAGGTTGGAAGGCCTGGCTGGCGCGGCGGAGCTGACCTTCCTTCTGTGCTCGGAGACCTGTCAAAGGACTCTGAGCAGAGACTGATGTGATTGGAGCTGGTTTTCAGGAGCCTTTTGGAGTCTCAGGACACAGCCTCTGAAACACCGGCCTTCGCATAGCCATTCAGGGAAATGGGACATGACATTTCTGGACGAGCTGTTGCACCTCCTTGCCATGGCACCCAGGAGACAGACAGGTGGGCTGGGACAAATAATGCAGAGGTGGTGACCTCTGGGGCCAGTGTGTGCCCCTGGGAGCTGAGCCGGAGGTTTGTGGGCTCACCACTACCTTGAAATTACCAAGAGGTGACCAGTTGGGTTATTTTATTTTGCTTCTTCCCTCTGAGGGACTGTGCAAAACAAAACCCTTTTTGAGAGGAAGAGGCCGCTGATGAGGGTGAATGAGCCGTGCTTTGGGGAGGTATCAGGAATTAATTCAAAAGGAAGACGAGTGTGGAGATTCGCAGTAGTCTCTCCCCAAGAGTAGCTGCTAAGCCGTGTTTATCATGTTGACACTTGGTGTAAATGTTGGCAGATGTTGGCTCTGAGGGATGGTAAGGTTTCCGGAAGCAGGTGCAGGGCTAGGACTGGTTGGACCAGATGTATTTCATTGATTCACTGCAGCAGGCGCTCTTTTCTGACCGTGTGGTGGGAAGGACAGAATGCTATGGGACAGATCATGGGGTGCCCTGCATTTGGGACGGGCTGGCTTTCACCCAGAGGAATATGAGCATTAGGTTGGCACCCTTGATGGAGGAAGGGAAGGCTGCAGTGGGGATGGGGAGAGAAACCAATGGGGAGACATGATCTGGGGAAGAAAGCAGGAGGGGTTTTGAATGTATGAAAGCAGCTGGGAGGAAGAGCCCGGGAAGTCCGGTGGTGGGGGATGAGAGGAGGGGTCAGAGAGAGAAAGAGGCAGGTGGGAGGGTAGGCGCTCAGAGGCACACCGCTGAGGAATTCCTGGTGGTAGGAAGCAGCTGATCCATTGATTTTATGGCAACGCCTGACATTGAGTTTGAGGTTGTTTTCTGCTTTGTGCCATTATTATCCCATGCAACCCCCAAATCTTAGGAAAAGTCTGCTAGATGCAGCAACCTGTGTTAGTGGTTCTTTGGAGGAATGAGAGGTGGTCGGTGTGTGTGGGTGAAGGTGGCTGACAAAAGACAAAGGAAATCACTCGAGTCTGGAAGCTATGGTGGTGGAGAAACGGGCTATAAGACGAATTCAGGAGAAACATGGCCCCCAAATCTTCAGAGATTTTGGGGACTAGGGGTCTAGACATCACAGGAATGGGATGGGCCCTTCTGGAAGACTGGGATATTCCATGGGGACATCCCATCTGGGGACATGTAGGGTTCAGCTCAGTTGACTTCAGGATCTGATTTAGGACTTACTACATTGGTTTCATGAAGACATTGTGTATAATGAAGCCTCAAGATTCTAACGGAGGGAAAAACATTGCCTGGGGAAAAATTGATGAAGACAGAGCTGCGTGGAAAGAAGGACTGGGTGTGTGTTTAGAGGGAGGAAGGTGGAAAAATATTCTGAGCGTTCCCTGAACATTTCCTCAGTCATGACTGCGCTTATGTTTAATTTTCAGAATTTTAGTCTAAACTCTTGCTATTTCACATGTGGTCCCAGCCCAGAGCTCTGAGCAATGTATGCTCCAATCCCCCAGAACTTCTCGCTGGTTTTCAACTAGGCCCTCCTCTCTCTGCTCAGCATCTTCTGTCCCTGATCTCAGCATCTTTTCACAAATGATTCCCTTTTGTAAAAAAATATGTTTTGATTGATTTCAAGAGAAAGGGAGGAGAGAGAGATAGAAACATCAATGATGAGAGAGTATCATTGATTGGCTGCCTCTTGCACACCCTACACTGGGGATCGAGCCCGAAGCCCAGGCAGGTGCTCTGACTGGGGATCGAACTGTGACCTCCTGGTTCGTAGGTTGATGCTCAACCACTGAGCCACGCTGGCTGGCCGGGCCACAGATGATTCCCTTTGCTTGCAATACATTTTCCCACTAGTTCTTCCTCTTCATTCTCAATGTCACCTTCCCTCTCTTCCTGGCCGCCTAATACTCACACACAAAACAATGCTATGTATTTTATAGGTACATCTGTATAGTTGTACATGTCTAGAAAAAGGTCTAGAAATATGGTTAGTTGAATGTTAAGTGTATCATCACATTGAGGAGACAAGGATCACTGGTGGCGATCTAAGGAACTATATTTGATGTTTGAATTCTAAGCAACAATAATATGTTCATGTACTAGTTGTACAATTACAAATAATAAAAATTCAATCCATTTGTATTTATTATAGAAAAATTGCGAATGAAGAAGGAGTCAAAAGAAGAAAAGAAAGTCAGATGTAATCTTGTTCCCTCTCCTCAAAGACAGCCTCACCATTTTTGATGTATTTCTGTTTAGGTTTTTGGCATATATTTTTAAAAAGTGTGACCATACTCTACCATTTCGTATCTTGGTTTTTTCTCTATAAGATACACACTTTCTCATATTATTATAAGCTCTTTATACCATAATGACACTGAATTACCCTCTTTTGTTAGGTAGTTGGATCATTTCTACTACTTTTCTGTTATAAACAACATTAGAAGCCTGGTGCACGAATTCGTGCATGGGTGGGGTCCGGCTGGTCTGCCCAGATGGGGGCCCATCGGGCCAGGCCTGCAGCGGGGAGGGGCCATGGGTGGTTGGCTGGCCAGGCCCACCCTCAATTGGGGCCTGGATCAGGCTGGTTAGCTGCCGCAGTGCATGTCATAGCCACTGGTTGTTCTGGTCGTTCCACTGGTCTGG